AGAGAGAGACAGAGACAGTGAAAGGGAAAGTGAGATTGTAGCCACACCGCAACCCAATCCCTTCTCTCGTCTCCTCCCAGCATTTTGGGCATGCATGCACATGTGTCTGGTGTGAATTTCAAGCCATCGGATCAGAATGCGAAGCATGGTCAGCCATGTGGGAGTCCACCAACATAACTGCTATGCCATCTGCTGTCCCTCCTTTTTTTTTAATTGTCTAATGGTACAAGCATTTGCAGGGAGGGAGGCAGAGAGAAAGTACCCACAATAGGACATGGTCATGCCATAATCTCTCCTCTATCTCCTCATTCTGTTGGGATTTTGGCATGCACACGTGCACTCGGTGTGGTTTTCAAGCCAGGGCCAGGATTTGAATTGAGGCCAGCCATGTGAGGTCTGGCTCCCTGAACCACTCGACTATAGACCTGTCCTTACATTCCAACTTTCCTTTTTTAGATTTTTGCAACGGAGTATGTGCAACCACTGGAGAGAAAAAGAGGGAAAGTGGGAAATCACTCCAGAGGGGATGGCTAGACCACAACCTCTTCTCCTCCGTTCTTCTCTTAGAATTTTGAGCATGCATGCACCACATGCCCAGTATGATTTTCAAGCCACCAAGTCCAAGACTCGAACCACATGTGGGAATTTAGCACTTTAACCACGATGCCACCTGCTGTCCCTATCCCCCGCCACATTCCATGTTTTTTTTTAACTTGACCAGAGAGGGATAGAGTGAGAGAGTGAGAGCAAGAGAGCGAGAGAGAAAAGGAGGGAGGAAAATGAGAAAGCAAGCTGCCAGGTCTGGGACTTGAACTGTGGTCGGCCATGTGGGAGTCCAGCACTCTTAACCACCATGCCACCTGCGGACCCTGCCACATTCCATTTTAAGACTCTGTTTTGGAACCAGCAGCTGCAATAATGCCTATGTTGCTGTACTCCCATGTAGCCGACCGTGGTTCAGTTCCCAGACCCGATGGTTTAAATGCCCGGCTGGGTGCACGTGCATGCGTGCCCAAGATCCCTAGAGGAGAATGGAGGAGAAGGGATTGCAGTGTGGCCATCCTCCCTGGGGGTGATATCTCACTTTCTGTCTCTCTGACTTGCACTGTCTTTCTGGTGAGTGCATACGCCCTATAGCAAAAACCTCTCCCCCTCAAAAAAAAAAAGACTATTTTACACAAATAATGCCATGAATACAAAAGGTATATATATCTATATTATCTATATATAGATATAGATAATATAGTTGTATACATAAACTTTTAATTTCTTTCTTTTTTTTTTTTTTTTGAGAGATGTTTGCTATAGGGTGCGTGCGTTCGCCAGAAAGGTTGGCCATGTGGGAGTCCAGCACCCTTAACCACCACGCCACCTGCCAGCCCCAGTAACCTGAGACTTCACTGGTGCTAGCAAGGGAACTATGACATTACTTCACATAGTAAGCCTGTACTTGCCAGGCTAAGGAGGTGGCTCTGGAAATTCAAAGCTGAGCAAGGTGTCGCAGGTGCCCTCAGCTAGTGCCCAGCCTAGTGATGGAGGCGGGTCCACATGCAGTGTCTGTATAAGCAGAAAGCAGTGTGGGAGCACAGAAGCAGGAGACACTCTGACCAGCCAGGGCAGAAAGGCCACCAGTTTTGGAGCACTGGCTATGTTCTGGGGAGTGGTAGGTAACTCCAAAAAGAGGTTGGAATCTTGAGGTAATGTCATAGATTATCCCAGCCCGACTGGATGGCCTGTGGAAACTTGTCTGGGGCTGGGGACATGACAGGGCATGGCGTCTCCCCACTGCAGCACCTTCTAGCTTTCCGAGCCAGTTTTTGTCTCCTTGAGACCTGATGGAGGCTTATTCCCTTTTATTCTGGCCTTAAGATATTACAGGTCATGCTTTCTTCTCTGTAGACCTATTGGTGGTGACGTCGCCATTCACTCCCCCCACTTCTTAACTTTCACAAATCTTTTTGCTTACTTGGATTTGAGCCTAGAGGAGCCATTGCAATTGGGAGCTTTTAGCAGAAGGAAAGAGTCATGGGGCTTTCTTCTTGTCCTCTTCTGACTCCACACCCTCCATTTCCTCTTGGTAGACCCTCTTCTGGCTGTGCGCAAGTGCTGTCTCACCCTGGGCATACACCTGTCACCAGCTTGGCCTGGGCCCCCAGTGGGAGCCGGCTGCTCTCGGCTTCACCTGTGGATGCTGCTATCCTGGTGAGTTGGTCTCTACCCTTCTTAGGGTCATGTCAGCTACTCATTCTTTGCCCGGTAGCGGGAAATACAGGGGAAGGGGGAAGTCATTGTCTGGTCTTCTCCAGGGAAGGGGCACCACCATCTAGACTCCTCAGATGTCAAATTCTGCTTGCCATAATTGTAAACATAAACCTGTGCTGGCATGTCTAGCAGTTCATTTCCTGCTCCCTCCCCTTTCTGGGTCTTTGTACTCAGTGTGGGATGACAGGGTACTTGTGTTCCCTTTGTCTCTCTTTCCTAGGTGTGGGATGTCTCAACAGAGACCTGTGTTCCTCTTCCCTGGTTTCGAGGAGGTGGGGTTACCAACCTGGTCTGGTCTCCAGATGGCAGCAAAGTCCTGGCTACCACCCCTTCAGCTGTCTTTCGGTGAGTGTCGGCAAGGCCCTAGATAAAGGCACTTGGTTCCTAGTACCTGCAGGTCCTCATTTTGGAACTTTGAGGCCCTAAGCTGTAATTTGGCTTTCTGTCTCAGAGTCTGGGAGGCCCAGATGTGGACTTGTGAGAGATGGCCTACTCTGTCCGGGCGCTGTCAGGTAGGACCGTGCTTCTCAGAAGCCGGGGAGGTGATTCCATGGTGCTCCTCATCCCCCATGCCTGGCTCCCCACTCCCTCTATAGACCCCCCATGGCTGGCTCCCCACGTTTCCCTATAGACCTCCTTCCTACCTCTTAGTTTCTTGACCACAGACTGGCTGCTGGAGCCCAGATGGAAACCGACTGCTGTTCACTGTATTAGGGGAACCGCTGATTTACTCTCTGTCATTCCCAGAGCGTTGTGGTGAGTTAAGGCAACCCTATACGACCCAGACTATCTGGGATGGGCAGATGGAGGCAACCTTCCGTAAGGTGCTACTCTGAGGAACAAAGAGAAGCCTAGGAGCCTTCAGAGGTGTTGAAGCCTGTGATGAGCTGATGGGCAGGGATGGGGAGCAGGAGGGACCAGCGAGAGGCCCACTTCTCGCATCTAAGAATTTCTGCTTTTGGGGCCAGCAGGTGGTGTGGTGGTTGGGATGCTGGACTCCCACATGGTCAACTATGGTTCGAGATCCAGGCCCAGAGGCTTGAGAGTCATGCCAGATACACGTGTGCGTGCATGCCCAAAATCCTGAGAAGAGAATGGAGACGGGATTGTGGCATGGCCATCCTCCTGGGGGGGTAATTTCTTTCTTTCCTTTTTTTTTTAAACTTATTTATTTTAATTTGACGAGAGAAATGGGGGGGGGGCGGAGAAAGAGAGAAAGCAAGCTGTCAGGTCTGGGACTAGAGCCATGACCGGCTATGTGGGAGTCCAGTGCCCTTAACCACCACACTACCTGCTGGCCCCCTGGGGGGTAATTTCTCATTTCCTTCTCTCTCTCTCTCTCTCCAACAAGTACATGTACTCTATGGCAAAAACCTGAAAGAAAAACAAAAACAGCAAAAAACTTTTGCTCTTTCCCACAGGTGAGGGAAAGGGGCGTGTTGGAGGTGCAAAATCAGCAACGATTGTGGCAGATTTGTCCGAGACAACAATACAGACCCCAGATGGTGAGGAGAGGTGAGCTGTTTGGGCGAGGGATGGGCAGTGAAAGGAAGGTGGGAGGGAGCATACTGCACTCTCCCAACTACCTGTCCTGATCGACAGGCTTGGGGGAGAGGCCCACTCCATGGTTTGGGACCCCAGTGGGGAGCGTCTGGCTGTGCTCATGAAAGGTGAGGTGTGGGGGTTTGTTCAGGTCATGGCTCTCTACCTGTACCTGGTTCTGTCCCTGCCCTGGGACTCTGCTTCTGGAGTGCTTCTCTATCCCTGGATCTGATTTATAGGAAACCCACGGGTACAGGATGGTAAACCAGTCATCCTCCTTTTTCGGACTCGAAATAGCCCTGTGTTTGAGCTGCTTCCATGGTAAGTGCTGGGCAGGCCCTTCGAAGGTTTGGGCTTCTCCCTAGCCTTTCTGCACCAAACCCACATCCCAGCTCATGCACCGCCCTTCTGCCTCCTGCCTACTCCTTTGCTTTCTTCCAGTGGTGTTATCCAGGGGGAGCCAGGAGCCCAGGCCCAGCTCATCACTTTCCACCCTTCCTTCAACAAAGGAGCCCTGCTCAGTGTGGTGAGTAGGCCAGACCGCTGGGGCTTTCAGGAGTAGAATGGAGAAGCTGAGGGCCTTGGCTACTGTATGGTTCTGCCATGGAGCTTCCTGGGGACCCGGCCCTGACACTTCTTTCCCCTCTCTCTGCAGTGCTGGTCTACAGGCCGAATTGCCCACATCCCTCTGTACTTTGTCAATGCCCAGTTTCCACGTTTTAGCCCAGTGCTTGGTCGGGCTCAAGAACCCCCAGCTGGGGGTGGAGGCTCTATTCATGACCTGCCCCTCTTTACTGAGACATCCCCAACTTCTGCCCCTTGGGACACTCTCCCAGGGCCACTACCTGCTCGGCCCCACTCCCCTCTCTAATAAATTTTTTCACTCAGTTATCTGATTCTATCTTTTCCTGGGAATTGAATTAGGGCATAGTGTGGGGTGAGGGCAGGGAGCATGGCTTTGGGGCTAAGATCCAACTGTGTCACTTTCTAGATACTGTTTGTGAATTTGTCTGGGTTAGTTTACCCCAGGAACTGATCAGTCAATCAATCATTTTGAATGGTTTAGAAAGCCAAGCTGAGAGTAAGTTACTATGAGGAAAACATCTGGCATAAGAACTCAGAATGGCTTTCACTTTTCCCGAGTCTGGGCAAGTTCACAGTGGTGTAGGGCAGTAACAGGTCAAGGACAGTCAGAATGAGATGGAAGAAGTTTTACTAGATGAGTGGATTTGTGGGAGGCACAGGTGCTGGGCGCTGGGCCAGTGTGGCCCGGGCCATGTTCAAGACACCCTCTCTGGTGTGGTGCCCTCCAATGAAGCCACTGGCATGGACGAAGATGCAGCCAGGGATCCCACTGACCTGGTCCAGGGCCTTGTCCCGAAGACCCCGCCATGGCTCTGGCAGGGGCAGCCTACAAGCAAGCAGAAAGAGGGAGTTGGGAAGAGCAAGTGGAGGCTGAGGTGGGAGCAGAGGTCAGGGTTGGCAGCCTCCTCTCCTAAGGCTGAGCCAGGCCTGTCTGGGGCCTCACCGGCTTTGGAATGAGTGGGGCTCCTTCGGTACACACTGTACTCGCCACTGCCCAGCCTGGTCAGTGTAGATAACAAAGGCGATGGCCACTGGGGGGCACAGCTCAGATTCCAGATGGAAGAGATGCTCCTTCCAGGGGCATCCACCTTTTGCCAGTTCCAGTATCTCCCCACTGGGGTCCACCTGAAAGGGAAGTGGGTAGAAGCAGGAGCCTGCTGACCAGAGGCCTGCCTGCAGTATCTGATCCCTGAGCCATAGCGCCTCCGTCAGGCCTGTACCTGGAATCGCTGGGCCAGGGCCTCTTCCACCAAGGCCCGGGCCGGCAGCCAGCTGTGCTGATAGAAGTCTAGTCTCTGCAGAAACTCCTCCCTGACCAGATCCATGGCTCGCCTGAACCCTGCCTGGGAATGGTGGCAGTAACAATCAGGAAGCATGTCCAAATTTTCAACTTCGCTAGGGGTAGGAGGAGGGATGAATGCTGCCACTTCCACCCCCGGGGTTCTGATGTTCCTTACCATCTTCTTCACAGTGGCCCTCCTTACCTCAGTGTCTTGGTTGGGCTGGTTCCAGGTGGGATTAAGTCGAGCAACCCGGGCACTCAGGGTGGTGGTCAGTGCATATCGAGGCTCTCCCTCCCACTGGGAGATCCCATTATCTACGGCATCCACTTCCTCCACAAAGTTCTCGTACATCTAAGGCAGCACCAGGGAAAACGCTCTTGAGGATACCTACCATGTGTGTGAGACCTTGCAGGTTCCAAAGCAGTCAGTCCTTTGTATCTCCGAGTTTCGCATTTGTGTTTTCCATCAGCCACGGACGTAGCCCGGCAGTGCCAGGTGTTAGGAAATAGGAGAAGAGGTGGCTTTCTAAAAGAGATACTGAAGTTTATATATATATTTTTTCATTCACATTAGATTCTAAGATTCTAAATATCTAGAGATGATTTAAAGTAAATGGGAGTAGAAGCTAGCAGATGGTGAAGCAGTTACGTTGCTGGACACATGGCCAGAATTCAAGTCTGGGATCCAATGGCTTGAAACTCATGCCAGGTGTATGTGTGTGCATGCCCAAGACACCAGGAGGGGAATAGAAGAGAAAGGATTGCGGCATAGCCATCCCCCCTGGGGGGTGATATCTCATTTTTTCTGTCATTGTTTCTAATTCTAGTGGGCGCCTGTGCCCTAAGGCAAAAACCTCTAAAAAAAAACCAAAGTAAACAGGAGTAAGTGCATAGGTAATCTGTAAATGCTATGTCATTTTATGTAAGGCTCGTGAGCATCTTGGATTTTGGTATCCATGGAGGGTCCTAGAATCAATCTCCTGTGGATACAGAGGAATGACTGTATGTTACCATTTTCACTTAATCCTCACAATAGCCTTATTAGGCTCTCTCAACATTAATCAGATGAGGAAAGGGAATCAGGGAGTTCAGTGACTTGCTCGAGGTCAGCACTGGGTCTAGGATTCAGATACCTGACTGCTGGACCTGACCGGGTCTAGGATTCAGATACCTGACTGCTGGACCTGACCGGGTCTAGGATTCAGATACCTGACTGCTGGACCTGACCGGGTCTAGGATTCAGATACCTGACTGCTGGACCTGACCGGGTCTAGGGCCTTGTCCTGAAGTGAACCCTTGTTCACTCTATGGCACTAAGCCTGAGCCGAGACCAACATGCATGGGGCAGGACCTGCTGATTTGAGCAGGAAGGGCTCAGTCTCCTTAGAGGTACTCAGTGGGAATAGAACCCTATGGCTGAGAAGACGAAAGTCTCCAGGTAGGCTGTGTAGGTTATTTGGGGATACAGTTAATAAGGTACATGGGCTGGTCCTATAGCACAGTGGTTAAGCTCTGTGCATTGGGAGTCAGAATCCACATTGTCCAGTGTGATTTGAATCCCAGCAGCTTGAAAAAAACACTGGGTGTATGTGCATACATGCCCAGAATCCCAAAGAAATGGAGAAGTGAAGGAAAAAGAATTGTGGCATGATCATGCCCTGTTGGGGGGTTGCCACCTCTTTAGTGGGTGGATGTATCACTCCCTGCATCTCAAAATGAGGTACAGAAGGTTTGGCCAACTACGTGAGTCAAGTTGGAGAGAATAAATGCTAGTCTAGATGTCAAGAGCTGATATGTGGGGTTATGGGTTGGTTCCATGGGAGGTCTGTAATGTGCCATGTGACATCAGCAGTTGCTACATATCCTGAGCTTGCAGAAATGGTAGGACAAGTTTTCATGTAGAAACAATATGGAATTATCAGAGTTTTATGCAAAAACCCTATAAAATAGGCCTTTGTATCAATATGTAGGTATGTGGTAGGCAGGAAAAGTACTACTCTCAGACATAGCTAAAAAAGTAGCTTCTCTATGCCCAGTATCCCTTGGTCTGGACCCCAACCTGATACGTGCTTAAAACATGGGCTCCCTGGGGGCCAGCAGATGATGTGGAGGTTAAGGTGGCTGGATCTCACATGGCCAATTGCAATGTTCAAGTCCTAGACCCAGAAGCTTGAAAAACACACCAAATGCATGTGCATATATGCCCCAAATCCCAAGAGAATGGAGAAGGGACTGCAATGTGGCCATTTCCCCAGGGGGTGCTTTCTCACCCTTCTACCTCCACTCTCCTAGTCTCTGGCAAGTACACAAGCCCTATTAAAAAAAAATTGCTTTAGACAATTGCTTTAGAAATTATTAGGTAGTAGAAGGGAAGCCAACCAAAGCAGCCTAAAACCTTTGTATTCCCAAAACTCGAAAGTCTTTTTCTATTTCTTCACTTTTGGAACATACTCGTGCTGTGTCATAGTGGGCAGGATATGGGCAAGCTAAGACAGAACTGAACTCAGCAGGCTACATGCAAAAACCAGCTGACTAGATCTGAGGTTTGATTTGTGAATGTCACAGGAGCAGGGTCAAGTGGGTGTCCTCACCGTTGTTTGACCTGACGTGGGCTGAGACCACTAGCCCCGTTCTTCCCAACAGCAGGAAGCTGCTTGTAATGCACTGATACAACCTGGAGACAGTGTCAGAATCAAGGCCTTCCCAGCTGAGCTGTATGTTACAGTGGTGCCCAAGGTACGCCCCTTCAACCTTCAGGGCAGTCAGGTCTTCTACGCCTGATGCTCTTAACATAAGGAATTTCCTTTGTTTACCCAAAGGTGCTGAACAATCATTTTTTATGTGTATCAAGAAAAAGACTGGGAGGGGCTGGCAGGTGGTGTGGTAGTTAGGGTTCTGGACTCCCACATGGCTGATGACAGTTTGAATCCTGGACCTGGCAGCTTGCTTTCTCACTTTCCTTCTCTCTCTCACTCTGTCCCTCTCTGGTCAATTTAAAATTAACAAATAATTAAATAAATAAAGGTAAATAAAATCATTCTTCAAAATAAAAAAAGAAGATAAAAGACTGGGGTGGGGGCAAGTGGTGGCACAGCAGTGAGACATGACTCTGCCAGGCTGGTCCGCATGGAAAGGTTCTGACTTTGTACTCAGAGATCTCCCCGTGTACACTGGCCATGCTTGTGCCCACGGTGCAGGGCTGGCTCTAGCAGGGGATGTAATGTGGTGTGTGAAGACTCCACGGAGGATACTGTCTCTCTTGCACTGACTCTCTTGTTCATGGAAGATGTAGATAAACTTAGGAAAAAAAAAAAAGACCGGAATGTGCTACTCTATGGTTTTCACCACCCTTCCTCATATATCCCATCATTCCCTTCTCACATGCAGCCCAGGACATAGGCAGGGGCAGAACCACCATCCCCTGTGCTGTGAGGCTGAGGGAGAAGGTGAGTGTCAGGCCCACTGCAGCCCTGCAACGCTGACATAAGGTCCAGTCCTGAGTGCTGTGTGAGTGCCACTTGCAGCTGGTCTGGTAGAGATGCATGTGGAGGGCATCTCTGTCCCTAGGTCCCCACCTTGTCATAGAGGGTGCCCACCATGCTGTCCTCTTCATTCATATCCAGCAACTGGGCCAGCAGCTTGTGCCCGAAGTGCAGATAGATGAGTCCTGCACTGCTCAGCTTAGTCTGCCACGGCTTTCCAGGGGACAGGGAGCTCATGGTCTCCGTGAAAGACCTGAGAAGTACAGAGTGGCCCCCGTTAACCCACAATGTGTGTGTGTACGTACATGTGCATGCGTGTGCAGACACAGGCAGGGGAGCAGGGGGAGGATGGGAATGCAGTAGGTGCTGACAGGAGAAAACCTAGGTGGGAAGGCTTTTTTACTTTTTCTCAGGGGTCAATATAGACCTCAGCTTAGAGCCTCCATTCATATATTCATTCAGTGGTGGTTAACTTAATGTTTACTATATGCATTAAGGTTTTATGCCTCGACATTCAGTATAAAAAATACTGTTTTTGTTCTAAAATTATCAGAGGGATGTTCACCAGAATAAGAGAGGGAGAAAGCACCCCAATGGGGCATGGTCACACTGCATCCCTTCTCCATTTCTTTGTCTAGTTGGGATTTTAGGCTTGCACACACACATGCCTGTTGTGTGTGTGTGTGTGTTTTTTTTTTGAGAGATTTTCACTGTAGGGCGCGTGCGCTCGCCAGACAGACAGAGAGAGACATAGAGACAGAAAGCAAGAAATCACCCCCCAGGGGGGATGGTCACGCCGCAATCCCTTCTCCATTCTCCTCTCGGGATCTTGGGCACGCACACACACACGCCCGGCGTGAGTTTTAAGCCACCGGGTCCGGGACGCGAACCGCGGTCGATTACGTGGGAGTCCAGCGACATAGCCATTACACTAACTGCTGGTTCCCATGCCTGTTGTGTTTTCAAACCACTGGGACCAGGTTTCAAACCACAGCTCGCCATTTTGGATCTGGCTTCTTAAAACTCTAGATATGGGGCTAGCTAGCCCCTGTTCTTGCCCTCAAATTCATCTGCTGGGGGCAAAAACAACCCAATGAGTACTCTGGCTAGGTTGAAATGAGGGAAAGGATGGGAGGGGATGAGGAAAGGATTCAGAGAAGGTGAGCCTTCTTTATTAGGTAGTAGAAGGGAAGCCAACCAAAGCAGCCTAAAACCTTTGTATTCCCAAAACTCGAAAGTCTTTTTCTATTTCTTCACTTTTGGAACATACTCGTGCTGTGTCATAGTGGGCAGGATATGGGCAAGCTAAGACAGAACTGAACTCAGCAGGCTACATGCAAAAACCAGCTGACTAGATCTGAGGTTTGATTTGTGAATGTCACAGGAGCAGGGTCAAGTGGGTGTCCTCACCGTTGTTTGACCTGACGTGGGCTGAGACCACTAGCCCCGTTCTTCCCAACAGCAGGAAGCTGCTTGTAATGCACTGATACAACCTGGAGACAGTGTCAGAATCAAGGCCTTCCCAGCTGAGCTGTATGTTACAGTGGTGCCCAAGGTACGCCCCTTCAACCTTCAGGGCAGTCAGGTCTTCTACGCCTGATGCTCTTAACATAAGGAATTTCCTTTGTTTACCCAAAGGTGCTGAACAATCATTTTTTATGTGTATCAAGAAAAAGACTGGGAGGGGCTGGCAGGTGGTGTGGTAGTTAGGGTTCTGGACTCCCACATGGCTGATGACAGTTTGAATCCTGGACCTGGCAGCTTGCTTTCTCACTTTCCTTCTCTCTCTCACTCTGTCCCTCTCTGGTCAATTTAAAATTAACAAATAATTAAATAAATAAAGGTAAATAAAATCATTCTTCAAAATAAAAAAAGAAGATAAAAGACTGGGGTGGGGGCAAGTGGTGGCACAGCAGTGAGACATGACTCTGCCAGGCTGGTCCGCATGGAAAGGTTCTGACTTTGTACTCAGAGATCTCCCCGTGTACACTGGCCATGCTTGTGCCCACGGTGCAGGGCTGGCTCTAGCAGGGGATGTAATGTGGTGTGTGAAGACTCCACGGAGGATACTGTCTCTCTTGCACTGACTCTCTTGTTCATGGAAGATGTAGATAAACTTAGGAAAAAAAAAAAAGACCGGAATGTGCTACTCTATGGTTTTCACCACCCTTCCTCATATATCCCATCATTCCCTTCTCACATGCAGCCCAGGACATAGGCAGGGGCAGAACCACCATCCCCTGTGCTGTGAGGCTGAGGGAGAAGGTGAGTGTCAGGCCCACTGCAGCCCTGCAACGCTGACATAAGGTCCAGTCCTGAGTGCTGTGTGAGTGCCACTTGCAGCTGGTCTGGTAGAGATGCATGTGGAGGGCATCTCTGTCCCTAGGTCCCCACCTTGTCATAGAGGGTGCCCACCATGCTGTCCTCTTCATTCATATCCAGCAACTGGGCCAGCAGCTTGTGCCCGAAGTGCAGATAGATGAGTCCTGCACTGCTCAGCTTAGTCTGCCACGGCTTTCCAGGGGACAGGGAGCTCATGGTCTCCGTGAAAGACCTGAGAAGTACAGAGTGGCCCCCGTTAACCCACAATGTGTGTGTGTACGTACATGTGCATGCGTGTGCAGACACAGGCAGGGGAGCAGGGGGAGGATGGGAATGCAGTAGGTGCTGACAGGAGAAAACCTAGGTGGGAAGGCTTTTTTACTTTTTCTCAGGGGTCAATATAGACCTCAGCTTAGAGCCTCCATTCATATATTCATTCAGTGGTGGTTAACTTAATGTTTACTATATGCATTAAGGTTTTATGCCTTGACATTCAGTATAAAAAATACTGTTTTTGTTCTAAAATTATCAGAGGGATGTTCACCAGAATAAGAGAGGGAGAAAGCACCCCAATGGGGCATGGTCACACTGCATCCCTTCTCCATTTCTTTGTCTAGTTGGGATTTTAGGCTTGCACACACACATGCCTGTTGTGTGTGTGTGTGTGTTTTTTTTTTGAGAGATTTTCACTGTAGGGCGCGTGCGCTCGCCAGACAGACAGAGAGAGACATAGAGACAGAAAGCAAGAAATCACCCCCCAGGGGGGATGGTCACGCCGCAATCCCTTCTCCATTCTCCTCTCGGGATCTTGGGCACGCACACACACACGCCCGGCGTGAGTTTTAAGCCACCGGGTCCGGGACGCGAACCGCGGTCGATTACGTGGGAGTCCAGCGACATAGCCATTACACTAACTGCTGGTTCCCATGCCTGTTGTGTTTTCAAACCACTGGGACCAGGTTTCAAACCACAGCTCGCCATTTTGGATCTGGCTTCTTAAAACTCTAGATATGGGGCTAGCTAGCCCCTGTTCTTGCCCTCAAATTCATCTGCTGGGGGCAAAAACAACCCAATGAGTACTCTGGCTAGGTTGAAATGAGGGAAAGGATGGGAGGGGATGAGGAAAGGATTCAGAGAAGGTGAGCCTTCTGCTCAGTCCTGCAAGATGAATCAGTGGATGTTCACCAGACAGCAAAGGGTGAACGAGAAAAGGCATTCCAACACATACAATAGCTGAGACAAGTCTCTTCATGTAGTTGCAAGAAGTGCAGGTTGGGTGTGAGGAGAGTGGAGGGCACACAGAGGCCAGTACATAGCAGGCTTTATGTGCCAGGCTCTGGAGTTTGGACTTCATCTGTAGGTAACTGGTAGCCTCTGGGGAGATTAAGAAAGCAGGTACGTGTTAGTGCACTGCACCAGCCAACATGGAGAACAGATACAAGAAGATAGCCTGCAGTGGTCCAGGAGAGGAAGGCAGGCATGAATTGAAACAGCAGTGGGACAGAGAACAGGGAAAAGGTGTGAAAGATGTTAGGTAAGTAGAAATTAGACCCTTGATTTCCAAATATTAGTCCATCTCAGAATCACCTAGGGAGATCACTTTTTGTTCAATGACTTTTATTGTTAAATACTGAGCAAATACAAAAAAATTTAATAAAACATTCATAAGGCATAAGGACACAGTAATCCTCCCACATTAACCCACCCCAACAATAAAATTCAAAAAGGGGGGCCAACAGGTGGCGTAGTAGTTCAGGCAGCTGGATACCACATAGTCAACTGAGAGATTTCAGACTCAGACCCCACAGCCTGGAAAACATGCTGGGTGTGCGTGTGTATGCGTGCCTCAAATCTCGAGAGAACAGAGAAGGGACAGTGACATGGCCATCCCTCCAGGGTGCTTTCTCACTTTGACTGTCTCTTTGTTTCTGGTGAGCACATATAGCCTATGACAAAAATTTTAAAAATAAAGCCCAAAAAGCAAGACTAAATGTATACTGTTGATGAAAACAGATGTTTGCCAAACTACACATATAAACAAAGGTATGGGGACCAGCAGATAGTGTAATGGTTATGTTGCTGGACTCCCACATAGTTGATTACAGTTTTGAGTCCTAGACATGGTAGCTTAAACCTCATACCAGGCATGTGTGCATGCATGCCCCAAATCCCAAGAGGAGAATGGAGAAGGGGTTGCAGTGTGGCCATCCCCACGGGGGCCGCAATTTCCCGCTTTCTGTCTTTCTGGGAAGCACACACATCCTATAGCAAAAAAAGTCTCTCTCTCAAAAACAAAAAAAGGGGACCAGCAGTTAGCGTAATGGCTATGTCGCTGGACTCCCATGTAGTCGACCGCAGTTGATGTCCCAGACCCGGTGACTTAAAACTCACGTTGGGTGCGTGTGAGTGCATGCCCAAGATCCTGAGGGGAGAATGGAGGAGAAGGAACTGCGGTGTGGCCATCCCCCCTGGGGAGGGGGTGATTTCTCGCTTTCTGTCTCTCTCTGTCTGTCTGGCAAACGCATGCGCCCTATAGCAAAAAGCTCTCAAAAAAAAAAAAAAAAAAAAAAGGGAAGTGTTCAATATTTTGGGGCTCGCAGGTCGCATGGTGGTTAAGGGCACTGAATTCCCACATGGCCGACCGTGGTTCAAGTCCTGGACCTGGCAGCTTTGCTTTCTCACTTTCTCCCTCTCTCTCGCTCTGTCCCTGTCTGGTCAAATTGAAATAAACAAATGAATAAATAATAAATAAGGTTAAATAAAATAATTATTTAAAAAAAAATTTTAAAGTGCCACAAAGAGGTCAGTTAAGGTGAGACCCTAAGCCAGCTGCTGAGGTTGCTGATTCCTTCACTGAACGATTCCACTGGACAGATGGGGAGGGCAGGCTGGGGAGGGAATAAACTGGAAGAGAAAAGGTAGACCCAGGTCAGCTTTTCTTCTGTAGAGTAACTCAGGAGTGAGGGCGACAGATTAGGCTGCGAACTCTGGGACGACTGACATCATTTATAAAAGTAACAGTACACATTAAAAAGAGAGTGAGACAGCCCCCGTACCTAGTGGTTAAAGGAGCTGGATCCTACATGTCTTCTGACAGTGGTTTGAATCCTGGCCCTGGTGGCTTGAAAAACATGTGGGCACATATATAGACGTGTCCTAACAGGATGGACAAATGGAGAAGGGGGATTGCAGTGTGACCATGCCCCATTGGAGGGTACTTTCTCCTCCTTTTCTCTCTGGCAGCACACGTGCCCTCGGGCAAATAAAAAAAAGAGAGAGAAATAAAGACAATCCCTCAAAGATAGCTAAATTGTGATTTGAAGTTCCAGAGTCTCCTCTAGAAACTAGATTGGAAAAAAGGCAGAGGATTAACTCGAACAGAAGGGAACGATTTTTCCCGAGCCCGAAGGAGAGAGCCGAGGATGTTTGGGGTTGGAAACTGAGAAGGTGCAGCAGGAAATGCTCCATCTTCTTTGGGAAGGGTAAGGATGCTCAGCAAAGGAGTTGGCTTGAGGACCAAGGAGAAATGGACTGGAATGGTACTGTGGACAGCAAGCCACTCATAGACAACAGGCCACTCTCGCCTCTGAACTGTCACTAATGGCCACAATCGTAAGGGCCGAGAAGTCTGAGGTGAGGCAACAAGGGCACGCAAATGGACTCATCCAATATGTGGAATCAGTTGGACTGCTGACCATGCTAGTGGGAGAAAACTTGGCGAAACCAGGGAAGAAGGTCCAAGGCCAGAGGATGGAATGCTCTATTCCCGCAGGCCTAGAGGTTGGGTTTCAATGACGAGGCAATGAAGCGGTCCTTCGCTGACCTGAACAGCAGTGGGATGAACTACAGCATAAGATAGTTGACATCAAGGCAGTTAAAGAGATGGCATATGGAACTCACCTCTGGTGATGGTCATATCGATGTCTCTTAGGGTCGTACTCGCCACCCACGTCCACCACGACATCACACGAAGCCAATTTTTCAGGGTCCCGGGTCCGAACAATCTCTGCATCCTGTAGGGGACCGTGAGAGTAGGGAATTAATACTGTTTTAAAGGACCTGGATAGGGAAGAGGGCTGCAGCGCCGGAAGCTGCGGGCACACAGGCTATCCCAGGGCTCGCGTTCGAGAACCGTACCCGGTACTCCGGCAGGAGGCGAAGCAATGCGCACGCCAATGCCTCGTCGCAGTGGAAGGTGCCGTTGTGCGTCCCGATTCGGGGCGGTGCCATGAGGTCACTGCGGGGTCGCTTGGGCGGCGGGACAGTCTCTGAGCCAAGCATGCAGCGCTGGGTTTGCAGGGACAGTGGCGGCAACAGTAGCGACACCAAACCGTGTAGGAAGCGACGGCTCATGTGGCTCCCGGGGCAGAGGCTGGAGGGCGCTGACCCGGAAGGGGAAGCCCTCCAGCGACCTCACTTCCGCTTGCTGGTCGTCACCACGGCAACCGGCCGGGAGCTCACACTACCCAGGGAAGCATTCCCCAACTCCTTAAAGGGCCTGGTGGAGCTTCCACTGCACTGGCCCCGCTTATCAGGTTCTGGGGAGCGGATACCTACCCCCATCTCATCCCCAGTCAAGGTCCCTGGCTTAATGCAAGAACACACCAACACGCTGCCCAGCTGGCACATTTATTAGCATTATACACAAGACCCTTCCCTTCCCTGACAACAGGCAGCCAGGCCCACAGAGTCCCAGGCCACCGAGCAGGGTCCTTCTGCCTCATATGGGCAACAAACTCTCAGGCCTTGGCAGTGGCCTGAGCTGCCCCCAGGGCTGTGAGCTGCTGAATCTTCTGGCTCATCATTTCCATGACAGCTATGGGGGGGAAAAAAGAAGAGTCAGATCCTGATCAGGAGCTAAAAGGGAGAACCTACGAGTTAAGGAAGACTGATGGTAAAAAGTTTAAGGACAGAGGGAACCAGCAGTTAGCGTAATGGCTATGTCGCTGGACTCCCACGTAGTCGACCGTGGTTCGCGTCCGTCCCGAACCCGGTGGCTTAAAACTCACGCAGGGCGCATGTGCGTGCGTGCCCAAGATCCCGAGAGGAGAATGGAGGAGAAGGGACTGCAGCGTGAACCATCCCCCCTGGGGGATGATTTCTCGCTTTCTGTCTCTATGTCTCTGTCTGGCGAGCGCACTCGCCCTATAGCGAAAAACCTCTCAAAAAAAAAAGTTTAAGGAAAGGTGGACAACCAACTATGCTTTGCTAATAAAACTGAGACCAGCAGATGGAGTAATGGTTACATTGATGGACACCCACATAGTTGACCATGATTGGAGTCCTGGACCCTGCAGCTTAAAACTCATACTGGGCGTGTGTACCTGCATGCCCAGAATCCACAGAGAAGGGACTGTAGCATGACCAACCCCCATCGGGGTGTGGTGATTTCTTGTTTTCTGTCTCTCTGACGAGCTCATGTGCCCTACAGCAAAAATCTCTTTAAAAAAAAAAAACAAAACTTAAGACTGATCCCCTATAAGACACACACACTGACTTAAGAGTCTACAATATGTTGGTCAATATGTCATTGAACATGATATGGTATTGAACGAGATATAATAAGAAAATTATAATGTGGGAAAGACTTTTGTCTTTACAGGAATAGTTTTCAACCTTGATCATACAAGAATCACCAGGGGAGCTCTTCATGTTTTTGTTTCTTTTTTTTTTTTTTTTCAAGAGATTTTTGCTATAGGGCGTGTGCGCTGGCCAGGGAGACAGAGAAAAAGAGAGACAAAAAGTGAGAAATCACCTCCCTCCTAGGGAGGATGGCCACACCACAATCCCTTCTTCTCTATATTCTCCTCTTGGGATCTTGGGCATGCATGCATGCATGTCTGGCGTGATTTTAAAAAATATTTATTATTTTACTATTATTTTATTTTTTTGCTATAGGGGACATGCATTCACCAGAGCGAGACAGAGAAGTGAGAAAGCAAACCACCAGGGCCAGGACTTGAACTGGAATTAGTCATTTAGGAGTCTAGCACCTTAACTACCATGCCATCTGCCAGCCTTGAGTTTTTTTTTCTTTTAAATATTTATTTATTTATATTTATTCATTTACTTTAATTTGACCAGAGAGAGACACAGAGAGAGAGGGAAAGTGAGAAAGCAAGTCACCAGGTCCAGGACTTGAACCATGGTCAGCCATGTGCCTTAACCCCCATGCCACCTGCTATCCCCAGCCTTGAGTTTTTTTTTTAAGAGAGATTTTTGCTATAGGGCCAATGTGCTTGCTGGAGAGACAGAGAGACAGCAAATAAATCACCTCCTGGTAGGGTGGCCATGCCACAATCCCTTCTCCTCCATTCTCCTCTTGGGATTTTGGCCACACACACATACTCACCCAGCATGAGTCTTAAGCCACTGGGTCTGAGACTTGAACCACAGTCAATTACACGGTGATCCAGCAACGTAACCATTATGCCATCTGCTGGTCCCAACCAAGGGAGCTTTTTTAAAAAAGCATCAACTCCTGGGACAACTCCTCCTCCCTCCACTTCCAGACTGAATTAGTCTAAAGTAGGCCAGGCCTTTCTTTTGTTTCTCTCTTTCTTCCATAAGTGAGAGAGACATGGTGGGGAGAGGGAAGGCACCTTCAACAGAGTCCTCATATGGCAATCTATTCCCAGCTCTAGCCAGCCCCAGATCATAGGCATGTGTACCCAGCATGTTTAGGGAGGTCTCCATGAAGCTAGAACTTTCCCATGTGGATTAGCCTGGCAAAGTGTTGCATTACATCTGGTCCCTTAGCTTAATTTTTAAAATCCTTGGATGATTCTAATATGCACCCACAATTTTAAGAATTAGCATTTAGCCAGGGCTGTTTCTTTCCTGTATGTTCATCTACAGGGATCTCATCCTCCACTCTATTCCATTAAATAGAAGCTCCACAAGAGCATCATTTCCTTCCTCTAAATTTCACAAGTAGCCAACCTAGGAATATTCAAGTAGTAGACATGCAATGCTCAGAATCTAGAGAACATGTCAAGACACCAAAGAGAAGCAAAGATACGATTTTGATGTGGTACAGGGGACACTTCTGGTTTCACATGGTTCCCATGTTCTTCGTCCATGGAGGTGAAAGAACTTACCCTGTTTCATGGCATGCTTCTCTTGTAGAGCTGGCTGGATTTTCTCCATTTGCTTGGTGAGAAAATCTATCTTTCTCTTGAAGAAGTCCTTGGCATCTTCAGCCGTCTGCAAGAGCAGAGGTGAATAACAGACTATTAAGGTGACCCCTTGCTGCATTTTAGATCTTCTCCTAAACACCCCCTTCCCTGCTCAGAGGGGTATCCACATGATCCCTCCCACTTACCTTCTCTACATAGTAGCCAGTTCCCACATCAATGAGCACATGTTCCACATCATGCAACTTCCCTGGGACATACATCTGAGAAGCAAGGATTAAGGGAAAAACTGTCCCAGCACGAGCCATGATTCCCTGTCGAATGGCCTGTGTGGTTCTCTAAGACCCTCCTTTTCTACAAGGCACAAAGACTGAATGATCTAGAGGCCTTATCAAATGTGGAGAGTCAGAGAGGTTGGCTCCTCATGGATAAAATAATATATGCTGGAACATTCTCCTGTTCTGCTCTCATCTTCCACTGTCCAAGCATTCCTTGAAATTCTTCCCATTAACCCCTCCAAAGTGACTAGATACAAGGACGGTTTCCTACTGCTCTAGAGTAGTACAAGTGAAAAGTCAGGTGCACCTCCCTTTAACAAGAACTCTCAATCATGTAGAAGCTAATTTCCGATGGATTTAATATTTATCATTTAACTATTCTTTACTACACACTCCTGTTTTTCTTTTAGTCTGTCAGTTTTCTGACTACAGGTGCCTCGTTGCTACAGCTAGCTTATTCAAGTAAAACACCAGGTGAACACAATGCAGGTTTCTTAGTTACAGCAGTTTAAGAATGAGCCACAAGTAAGAAATAGAGGATTAATGCCCTGTTCCTATTGCCTTCTATTCTGCTATTGCCTATGACTTAAGTTATCAGTGAAGGTGTAAATCACCAGCTTTATTTACAGATTAGATTAATATCCTCAAATAGCAATGGGAAATATCATACCTCAACTCTACATACTCCTTGGTACCCACAAGGATGGATGTTAGTCAAAAGTTAAATAAGAGAGCTACAGAGTATATAAGAGTATTCTGGGACCTGTCTGTGGCCTGGTGTTAAGGAGCTGGACTCCACATGGCTGAGTCTGCAGTTTAAGTCCTGGACCTGGCAGCTTGAAAAACTCACATGTATGCGTGCCCAAAATCCCCAAAGGAGAGTGGGAGGAGGGACTGCAGGACCATAGCGCGATTGCAAGCGCCAAGCCTATGCATCCTCTCTGTAAAGACTATGCATCCTCTCTTTAAAGACTATGCATCCTCTCTGGCAAGCGTATGCACCCGCTGGCAAATTTTAAAAGTGTTCTCATTATCATGGGGGAGACTCTGGAGTAATCAGAACTACCCTCTTCCCTTTTCGTGAGACAGAGGAGAAGGCACAGTAGCAGTTCCTGCGGAAAGGATACAGAACTCGTCAACGGGACAAGCAATTCTTTCCCTGTGAAGACAATGAAAAACACCACGGGAAGGGAGTGAGCTCCAATGCCAAGACGTTAGAGGGAGTTCCAACAGGGCACATTAAACAGGGCGACAGGAGAAAGGGAATATTCTGTACCACTCTACGGAGGCAGCCTGCAAAGGGCTCACGACGCGGTACACAATACATACATAATGGGTTGTCTTCTCGTAAGGAAAAGCGTATTAGGAGGTGGGACAGGAGAAGCAGGCTCCCACCTTCCCCGGACCAGCCTCACCCGCCTACCCCATACCCTCGTTGCTCTTGTTCAGCACGTTCAGACAGTCCTTGGCCTCCACATACTTGGTCTGTACCACCTTGAGCTGGGCAATGGACGTGGACAAGAACTCCACTTCCTACACAGAACGCGAAAGAGGATCAGCACAGCGGGGGAGAGCGGTACGGCCGGAGAGGGGGGCGGGTCCTGGGACAAGATAGGGGTTCCGCCTGGGAAAGCAGTCTTCCAAACTGGGAAGGAACGGGGTGAGGGAGTACGTACGCGTGGGCTGGGGGGATGTGGAGCAGGAAAGAGGTGCCTCTGGGGCCCGTCCCCACCTGGTCCAGCTGGTTCTTGAGCATTTCCAGCTGCGGGAGGTTCAGCTCCGTGATGTTAATAGACTGCGCCATGTTGGGAAGGACTAACGAAGAGGAAGCCCGGTCGGCGAGCGACGCTCTAGCCATCCTCTGCTCGTCTCGATGGTCGACCTGGGGGTCTAGCTACGCCGCACGGCTCTATGATCCTCTGTCCAGGAAGCGCAGAATAAGCATGGGGTCTCCTGGCATCATCTTTGATTAGAGAAGTTAGTGGCGCGGGTTTCGGGTTTTCTTTTTGTTTGTTTGTTTGTTTGTTTGTTTGTTTGTTTTTGAGAGTTTTTTTTTTTTTCTTTTGGTTATAGGCGCGTGCACTCGCTGGAGAGACAGAGAGAGACAGAAAGAGAGAAATCCCCCCCACCCCCACCCCAGGTGGGGTGGCCGCGCCACAATCCCTTTTCCACCATTCTCCTTTTAAGACTTTGGGCACCCGGTCATATGTGCCGGGTGTGTGTGTGTGTGTGTGTGTGTTTTTTCTTTTTTTTTCTTATTTTAAAAACATTATTTAGTTTTATTTCTTTAAATCTGACCAGAAAGGGACAGACAAGAGCAAGAGAGAGACAGAGAGGGAAAGTGAGAAAGCAAGCAAGCTGCCAGGTCGGGACTCAAATCTCAGTTGGCCATTCGGGAGTCCAGCGCCCTAAACCACCAGCCACTTATGGGCCCACGCCAGGTGTGAGTTTTAAGCTGCCAGGTCTGGGCCTCGAACCTCAGTCCACTATGTTAAAATCCAGCAACCTAACCACTGTGCCATCTGCTGGTCCCAGTGGTGCATTCTTTACACAAAATATCCTAAACCTAGTACAGTAGGTTGTAACAAACAAGATTCCTGCCCTTGAGTAACTTAAGAATCTTAAGTCTTTAGGAAACAACCACAATATTGGAAAGCAGCCATGCTACTCCATGTGGGTGGCATAAGCCTAGTGACTGACAGGCCAGGAAGGAAACCTAGCAAGTTCTTTGGTCTGGGGAGTAGCCTCGTGCAAATGGTGCTTTGGGTAGGTGAAGCAGAAGAGTCTGGATGTGCCGAGATGGATAGGAGGCACCCCTGTCAACTAACAAGTACAGCACAAGACTTAAAAATCAATAAAATGTTTTACCACGTGGGCGGTGAGGGGTAGATGAAGGTAAGATGTGTATTTCTCCCCTTGCTCAGTGGCACAGCGACAAGCTGGATTCAACACAGTGACCGTGGTTCCAATGCCCATGTGATCAGCCTGAAACATGCTGCATACTCTCTCCCAGTGCCCAAGATCTCATGGGCGGGGAGACTGGAGGAAGGGGATCCCTGTGTGACCAGACTCTGAGGGTACTCCTGCCTCTTGTGTGCTGACATAAGCTATATCATAAGTAAAGCAAAACAGAAAAAAAAAAGGGGGGGGGAAGGATATGTGCTTCTGAGAAGTGTTAATAATTTAGTTGTGGAAACAAAAAACACAGTAGCAGAAACCCCACAAAATCTGCTGCTAAAGTGCATGGCGCTGATAAGTGTAATCGCTATTGGCTGTAGGTGGCAGCCTCTAACATTCACTTAGAACAGAGACAAGGCAACCAGGACATTAGTGTTAGTGTCACTTCCGGGATACCTAAGGCAGGAAGATGGGAGAGAAGGGATGGTTATCTGGCCAAGACGGGCCTATCACTACCACTACCCTTCCTTGGGCCTGTCTCCACTCGGATACTGCTCTCCTCTGGTTTTTTCTGCAGAGGCCTGACCAGGCCCAGCTTTGTCCTGTGGCTTTACGTTTCTTCCCAAGGCTCTTAAACTTGAACTCCTGCAAGCTATTCCCATCTGTTCACAGTAACACATAGCAGGAAGGGGGCAATATTCTTGTGTTTAAATGTTTTCAGATACACCAGACAAAACAGGCTTTAAGTGTTCTATCTTTATTATATTACAGGTAAAATGAAATATTTCCTATAAAACACTGGGGAAAATCACCTTAAAATATTTATTACAGGGTTAAGTTGAAATTTGGAGGTAGAACAGTCACATGGCTTCATTCAGCAATAAGACAGCTCCAAAGGGTTATCGCAGAAGCAAAAGCCATAGGCTACAGGTGCAGCCCCAATAAGATACTTGAGTCGGGGAGCCTGGCGAGCCTGGCTGACGTAGTAGAGAAGGGGGGCCCCTGGGCCTGCTCCAAGCCAGCCCTGCAGCAGAGCTTCCGTGTAGCGGTCAATGTCACGGTCAGTCACATCCCAGAGATTACCCAGGAACAAAGGGCTGGGAAAAAAAGATGGAAGAAATACAAAGTAAGGGCCCTAAAACAGAATGAGGAGGGAAATATGATTGGTGGTGTGATTAGTGGTGGTAGTGGTGGGTGAGCGGAGAGGAGAGAACAATGATGAACTCCCTTGGCCTATACTTCCCAGAGGAGGAAGAAGGGGGCGTGCCAGCGAACTAGGACGGGAGGAAGGTGGGGCACAGAGAGGAAGGATTCAGAACGCAGACCTAGGAAAGGACTTGGGGAAGGGCAGGAGTCTTAACGTCCTAGGAAGGAAGGGCCTTGCTCGAGACTCACCAGCCGGCCATGATGTACTTCAGCACTATGCCAGCCCCCTCCAGGTTTCCGTGTACAGCCAGGGCTGCGCTGCTGCAACCAAACAGCAGGGCGACTGCCCGGCAGCCCAGCCGCAGGACAGCTTGTCCATCGAGGAAGCGGGCGCCAGCCCCATGACCTGCATAGCTGAGGCAAAAGGAGGAGAGATGAACCTTGACTGAGCAGTACAAGGCCCCTAGGTCTCTAGAGACGCTAAAGTTGCAAAGCAACCCATGGTGATGGCATCTTCAGGACTGCTCCTCTCCCCACCCCCCTGCCCTAAGCACTCACATATATAAATCGCGCTCCGTCAGGGCTGCCTGCACCTGTTCAGGGCTCGGCACTTCCCCGATCACCCCTCTCCAGCCAGCTTCACTGCAGGAAAAGGTAGGAGTGAAAACAGGGCACCGCGTGACAGAAGTCACGAGGTAAAAGGGCAGAGGGAGCATTAAAGAGAAGGTGGGCTACGCCAGTTGATTCTGGAGAAAAGGCATGTGATCTCTAACCTTCTCCAGTCCCCCTTGTCCTCACCCCCTGACCTGCTAAAAGTGGCTCGAAATTGCTCCTCTGTGCTTGACAGGTTATTGTGAGGGTTCAGGACGTAGAAGGTACTTCGTGGATCCACCCCTTGGCTCAGTACCGATGAGGCCCCAGACTGAAGGAGAGACACTGGTGATGAGGACCCTGGGCTCATCAGGTGTCATCCAACAAACTCCAAGCCCCTTTCCACATTGGACCCATTCCTGAGACCCTATCTTCCCAGATCTTCCTGCCTGTCTTTCCTCAGGTCTCCCCAGGTTGGCAATCATCCCCAGTACCCATTCTTGAACCCCACCTCTTTGATGATGGAGTAGCTGAGTAGGAAGTGGAAAGAGGGCAGCCGGGTGACAGGCCGTGCCCGGAGACTGGGCATGCTTTCCCATGGCAGCTTCTGCAGGTCCTGGGCAAAAAGCACTCAGAGGTTACTGTCCCCAGCTGTGTAATCTGCAGGAGTCAGAGGGGGCCCCCTCTCCTTTCACTAGACACTGCCCCTCTGCCCTAGCTTCTCACCTTGTCTAGCACCAAGACAAGGTGCCTGTTGCTTGGCACTGTCTGGCCCCGCAGACGTCCCACTGACTCGTTCAGGAGCTCTTGGGCTCGTTCTGGCTGGGTGGGGCACAGCCCACAGGCTAGGGCCTGAATGTCCTGAGGGGTGAGTGTGCTGGCACCGCTGAGCATGATCTGCAGGGAGCAGTGGTTAGTGAGCGTGACAGCTCCCATCTACATGCACAACAGCTGCTGGGAAAGAATGAAGTCTGGCTTCTCCTTCCCTGGGGTTTTCACTCACTTTCAGCAGAGTAGGGTCAGGGTATTTCCAGCCACAGTCCTGCAGCAGCCCTTGCAGACGGGAGGCCTCCTGCACAGAACTGGGCTCCTCATTGGATGGCAACAGCAGTCCCCTCCAGCAGCCCAACACATACTTCTCTAGGGAAGTGACAAGGACCTGAACGTGGGAGGACAGGGTCTTCAGTCAGAGAGAAGCCAAGCTTCCGCCCCCATAGGCACCAACATTTTGGAGTAAGTGGGTTTTCCAATGCATATGTTTATCTTACATTATCTTTCTACCACTCATAAAAGGCAAGAATCGGGACCAGTAGTTGGCATAATGGACTTCCATCTCGCTTTCTATCTCTCTGACTCTTTGCTTTTCTGGCGTGCACATGCGTCCTATAGCAAAAACCTCTCCAAAAAAAACCCGGCAAGAATCATAGAAATGTTTCCATTTTCCAAGCTCTAGGAAAGCAAACTTTCATTATATTGGGTCACGGAAAAATCATGTATATTTTTGCATAGAAAAACATACATCATGACTTTTCCGATGACCCAATATATCCCTGTGCAGTGAGAAATACAAACAGGTGGGAAATGAAAGCTAAAGCTAGAAAGCTGATACTTGGGTTTAAATCTTTTTTCTTCTGTGTGTCTTTTCCTTAAAGTTTATCTGTTGAGGGCCAGCTGGTGATATGGTGGTCAAGGCGCCTGAATCCCACATAGCTGACTGCACAGTTCGAGTCCCAAACTCGGCGGCTTGAAAATTTACCAGGTGTGTGTACGTGTGTGCCCAAAATTCTGAGAGAGGAGGAGAAAGGATTGTGGTGTGGCCATTTCCCCTCGGGGGTGATTTCTCACTTTCTCTTTGATGAGTACATGTGTCCTACAGGAAAAACTAAAAAGGAAAGAAAGAAAGAAAGAAAGGAAGAAAGGAAGGAAGGAAGGAAGGAAGGAAGGAAGGAAGGAAGGAAGGAAGGAAGGAAGGAAGAAAGAAAGAAAAGGAAAAAAATTATTGGGACAGAGAGAAACTGACAGAGAAAAGACAGGCACCCTTAACAGGGTCTCCATGCTGCACTCCACCCCATTTCAGCCAGCTTGGATCCCAGCCACGCACCTGAACCTGGTATGCATCGGGAGGCTGTGTGGCTCCAGCCTCGCAGAGAACTGCATTGCCACCACGCTACTGATCGGGCCCCCTGCTATCTATAAACATTCCACTGCCAGACCCCCTGTAAATTCTGGGTTATTTACTTATCCTGCTTGCTTGCTTTTTAAATTGCCAGAGGGTATGTATGCAGGCCACAGAGAGAGACCCAGGGAGAGTGAGGTGGGGAAAGCACCGCCCAATAGGGCCAGATCACACCACAATCTCTTCTCCGTTTCTTCACCCTGTTGGGATTTGGGGCATGCGTACCCACACACCCAGTTTATCAAGCCACCAGGGTCAGGATTCAAATGGCATGGCCAGCCACTGCCTTAACCACCAGCCTATGGAGCTGGCCCTGAGCTCTTATTTAAAGTCTTCCCCAAGTGACAGTTTTTTTTATTTAGGCCTAATAATTTTTTTTTTTTCCTTCCAGAAAAGACCTGCAGTAGCTCAGCACTGACCTGGGACCTCTGACAGAGAAAGTGCTGCCAACCCCCGGGTCATTTCTGAGGCAGGCCTGACCCACCCCAGCCTGGGTGCACACACCTCCATCCTATGATCCAGTTCTAGCCGCCCTGTCCACCATTCTCGCTTGTCGGTACAGCTGCTGTTCTCTTTCTGTTCCTTCTGGATGGCGTCAAACTCTTTCAGAGCCAAACTTAAAGAAAGCTTTGGAAAATGGGGTTGTGAGATCTCTGCTTGATCACTATCTTCATCACCCAGCCTCAGAATGGGCTTCGACCAGAAGGCTGCCCAAGCCCCACTTCGTTCCCTTACCCAGAAATCCTACCTTATTCTGGGCAGTGGGGATCTGCACAGTGACGGGGGGATTGTCCTTTTCCAGCCGCGTCAGCAGGAGGGTGTCGCCCACGATTCCGGGCCGGAGGGTGGCCAAGGCCAGTATACACACAGTCACCCCTGACACAAGGGACACATTCAGAATCATTTTAGCTGTTATAAAGAATTCCCTTCCCTTGGGACCAGCAATTGGCATAATGGCTATGTCGCTGAACTCCCATGTAGTTGACCGCAGTTTGAGTCCCGGGCCTGGTGGCTTAAACTCACGCCGTGTGCATGTGCGTGTATGCCCAAGATCCCAAGAGGAGAATGGAGGAGAAGGGATTGCGGTGTGGCCATCCCCCCGGGGGGGGTGATTTCTCGCTTTCTGTCTCTCTGTCTCTATCTGTCTTTCTGGCGAGTGCACGTGCCCTATAGCAAAAACCTCTCGAAAAAAGAAAAAAAAAAGACTTCCCTTCTCTATCTTCTATATGCCATCCCTGTCTAAGAAGTCTTCACTGGCACTAGAGTTCCAGGTGCTCTCTCTGCCCTAACAGAGAGCTGGCAGTTAAAAAAGCAAGCAAGCAGGATAAATAAATAAAGAAGAGCTGTCTTATGCTTCTACGTGTCCCTCACGGTGACTAACAAAGGGCCCTGTACAGAGCAAGGCACTTAGACTAACTGCTAACATGTTTCATGTTAGTGGATTAAGACCCCAGAAGTCTGAACTCACCTCTAAAGACACTGAATTTGCTGGTAACTCAAAGCTGAGGTTAAAAAAAAAAAGAAATACTTCCTGATTTAGCATGTCTTTTTGGTGGGATAAACCAAATGGGTAACAGACAAAATGCTTGACACAGGACCGTAAACCTATGTAAACGAGCCGATGCCTTGAATTTCTTCCCCAACTCCTCAATGAGCAGATGCATGAGGGCGGGAAAGCCAGCCGGAAGCTGTCACCTACCACTGGGGATCAGAGCCAGGTGTTCTTGGAAACGCTCCTTCTCGGGCTGGGGGAAATGGCCAGATCCTGAAGTCCTGAAGGAAAAGAGGTGCTGGATGCGGGCCAAGGGGACATCTCCAGGTCTCTCCTGGAGGCTCAGCCCCTGCAGCTGGTCTGCCATTTCCAGTGATCCTTGGTGCTTCTGAGCCTTGCTGCAAACAACAAGTCATGGTCAGTCTCCTTCCTTCAAAGTCTACACTCTTCCTCCAGTGTGCCGCAGCCCGAGCCTTAGGGACGGTGGGCACTCACCTGAACTGTCTGTGGAGGTGGGTGAGCAGCTGGTGGCGACAGGTGATGGAGACCGACTCAGTGATAAGGAAGGCAGTGGCACAGGGATCCCGGTGCCCCAGGCACAAGGCCAGGAAGCGACAGAGGTGGGCATACAGCCCACTGGGAGGGCAGTGACTGACTCCACGGAAAGCAGTGCTCAGTGAGGCACAGATGGAATCCAGGGTAGGGAGACCTAGAGGAAGGTTGAGACACTTGCTACAGATTCAATCTATTTCCTAGTTGATAAGAGCTTTCCAAGAAAAAAAGAGTCCTTCTTGGGACCAACAGATGGCATAATGGCTATGTCGCTGGACTCCAACATAGTTGACGGCTGTTCAAGTCCCGGAACCAGTGGCTTAAAACTCATACTGGGTGCATGTGCGTGTGTACCCAAGATCCCGAGAGAATGGAGGACAAGGGATTGCGGTGTGGCCATCCCCCCTGGGGGAGATTTCTTGTTTTCTGCCTGTGTCTCTCTGTCTCTCTGATGACCACATGTGTCTTATAGCAAAAATCTCTCCCTTAAAAAAAAATAAAAGAGTCTCTCTCTCATTTCCCACCTAGAAAAGTACCACGTATGAAAGGCCATGTGCCAAGTGGAGTTCTGTACAGATTACGAGCTTCAACTCACTCCATCTTCCCAACCCCCATTTACAGGGATGGCATCAGAAGCGCAGAGAGATTAAGTGACTTGCACATAGTTAGCAGAGAGAGGGATAGTATTCAAACCTGGCTCAAAAGTTACTAGATCTAGATGGGATCTAAAGCCAGACCATGAATAGACTTGAAAGACTTAGGGATTCAGAGACCTACAGGCAGGACCAGCAGATGGTGTAATGGTTACATTGCTGGACTCACATGTAGTTAACTGTGGGTTGAGTCCCAGACTCAGCAACTTAAAAAACACACCAGGTTGGGACCAGCAGTTAGTGTAATGGCTATGTCGCTGGACTCCCACGTAGTCGACCACGGTTCGCGACCCGGACCCAGTGGCTTAAACTCATGCCGGGTGCGTGTGCGTGCGTGCCCAAGATCCCAAGAGGAGAATAGAGAAGGGATTGCGGTGGTGATTTCTTGCTCTTTGTCTCTCTCTGTCAGGCGAGCACACGTGCCCTATAACAAAAACCTCTAGGGAAAAAAAAAAAAAACTCAAACCAGGCACGTGTGCGTACATGCCCAAAATCCCAAGAGGAGAAGGAACTGTAGTGTCGCCATCTTCCTTGGGGGTAATGTCTCACTTTCTGTCTTTCTCTGTCTCTCTAGCAAGCACATGTACCCTATAGCAAAAAATCTTTCTCATTATAAAAAAAAAAAAAAAGAAAAGAGAGTGAGAAAGAGAGAGACCTAGAGGCTCAGCCCTCTCCAAGGGACCAAACCTCGGTACTCAGCATACTCACCAATGACTATAGGGGCCGGGGGGAGACAGAGCCGAAGACCGAGGTCCCTGTCGCTCTCCTTGTCTGGGCACGAGATAGACAACTCCTCCTTGCTGACATCTCGTCTCAGCACCTCACGTTCTCCTATAACTGTATCAGGGCCTAGAGCTGGGGCCTTCCCACCTGCAGAGAGAACGTGACTTTTGTAGAGTTCCTCCTCCCGTCATCCCCTTTGTCATCCTTTCTAGATCCCAGTCCCTCAGAGCCGGTATAAGAATTTTCTTTGGGGCAGTTCAAATCCTGGACCTGATGGCTTACTTTCTCCCTCTCTCTCTTTCTCTGGCAAAACTCATGTGAAAAAAATAAATAAATAAATAATTCTTCAAAAAAATTATTTTTCTTTGGGACAAGCCTGTGGTATGGGGGTTAAGGCAGCTGGATCCACGTGGCCGAACGCATGGTCTGAGGCTTGAAAAATAAACTGAATGCATGTGTGTGCATGGTTAAAATCCCGAAAGGGGAAATGGAGATGGGATTGTAGTATCGTCATCTGCCATGGGGGGATGCTTTCTCACTTTCCTTCTTTCTCTCTCCCTAGCAAACTAAAAAAAAAAAAAAAAAAGAACATATAGATTGGGGAAATCAAAAACTAAAAAATGTGGGACCAGCAGATTGCATAATGGTTACATCACTGGACTCCCATGTAGTCGACTGCAGTTCAGATCACAGACCTGGCAATTAAACTCATGCCAGGAACATGTACATGTGTGCCCAAAATCCTGAGAGAGGATGGAAGAGAAGGGATCGCAGTGTGGCCATACCTCCTGGGGGGTAATTTCTCTCTTTCTGTCTGTCTCTCCAGCGAGTGCATGTGCCCTATAGCAAAAATCTCTCTCTCTAAAAAAAAAAAAAAAATAGTAAACCAATAAAACCTATTTAAAAAAAAAAATAACTCTTTTTAAATTATTTTATTTAATTTTATCTATTCATTTATTTAATTTGACCAGAGACAGACATACACACAGAAAGAGAGAGAGAGGGAGGGAAAGTAAGAAGGCAAGCCACCAGGTCCAGGACTTGAACCATGGTCGGCCATATGGGAGTACCCAGCACCTTAACCACCATGCCACCTGCTGGTCCCAAAACCTCTTATTTTTTATAATGTTGCCAGAGGATGTGTGCACTTGCCAGAGAAAGGAAAGGGAGAAAGCAACCCAGTGGGGCATGGTCACACCACAATCCCTTCTCCATTTCTCCATCCTGTCAGGATTTTGGGCACATGAGCACATGTACCTGGGAGTGTTTTTCAGGCCACTGGGGCCAGGATTTGAACCAAGGTTGACTATGTGAGATCTGGCTCCCTTAACCATTAAGTCATAGGACCAGCCCTAAAAGAACTTTTGGGGCCAGGAGGTGGCATGGTGGCTAAAGCATTGGACTCCCTCAAAGCCAACTGTGGTTCAAGTCATGGGCCTGGTGGCTTGCTTTCTCACTTTCTTCCCTCTCTGTCTCTCTGGTGAGTATACATGCCCTAGACTAAATTAAAAATAATGGGGTGGGGGTGGGGGTCGGCAGGTGGCACAGTGATTAAGGGCATTGGACTCCCACATGGCCGACCACAGTTCAAGTCCCAGACCTGGCAGCTTACTTTCTCACTTTTCCTCTCTCTCTCTCCAAATTAAAAAATTAAAGAAAGAAAGAAAGAAATTCTTTAAAAAAAAAAAATGGGGCCAGCAGGTGGTGTGGTGGTTAAGGGCACTGAA